TCAGTCAGCCAGCAAAGAATCCATCCTTCGCAGCAATTTGCGAAATTTCAAGTTTTAATTCATCGTTAAAATCTTTCAGAAAAAATGTTTATTTTAAGGAGTGCTACGACCGGCCAAATATTCAATGCATGGCTTAAGCGAGGTAAACGCAAAAAAGTTCAACTTAAAGACAGAGTGCACGTAAGACAGCCGAACAAGTTATTTTATTTTCACGTTTCACGTTTTGAAGCTGTGATCTATCAAGTCTCTAGCAAGAACAATGGGGATAGAATAGTGCGGTCGATTTAAGAGTGTATACCTTTTATGAGAGCGGTCCTTTATAAAGGAGCAGATCCAAAACATAAGTCGATGTAATTCAAAATTAACAAAATAAATCTTCTTCTTGTCCAGGTACTTATTATTGTTCACCTATTTCCACCGCAAGATACGAAAAAGTAACGATAGAAAATACTACCACGTAGAGTCTGACTTCGTACGTGTTGGACTCCAAGCAATACACTTACCCATTTTAAAATAATAGTTAAACACATACTCTGCACACATTGTCCCATCAGAAATAGAGACAATGCCACACTTTAAAAGGTTTCGGACACATATCATAATCATAATCCTAAGGCAAAAGGGACCAAGTCAGCCTGAAGACTGGAATATATTTCATACAATAAGGCTTGTATACAAGCGAAGGGGGTGATGAACCATTTACTAATTAAACGGAGCTAAAAAAAAAAATTTCGTTTAGCAAGTGTTTCTTAAATGACTCTGCACTGATTTAGAAGAAAAATATTTTTTTGGAAAAGTAAAAAACATGACTGCATAAAATAAAGAACAAGTAAAAGCGCTCTAATGGGTCACGGCCCACTATTAAAGACGTTACACCACTACCGCCTAATACAGGTATTCATAAAGTGCTATATGGGAAGTGATGGGAAAAGTGCTTCGTTCCCTATCGTATTCGATAAAGTTCGTCCGAGGACCAAATTTCATGCAAACAGCTCAACGACTTCAACCTATAAATTGAGCAGAACGAAACAAGACAAACGGACGGAGGGAGAAACAATCTAAAATCGATGAAATGAATGATTTTGAATCAATCGATATAATGAAAGATGGATCTATCTCAAGTCCTTCCACGAGTTACGTACAAATCCGTACAAATTTAATATCCCCTGGTACCAACCACAAATGGTTTAGATTATAAAAATAAAATAAATAAATAAATAAATAAATAATAAAAAGAAAGCATAATCAAAAGGGGCATTGCTTTCATTTTTCTGTTGTGAAATTTTCCTCTGGTATGTCATACGTATAAGTGACAGTCCAATTATACTTATCGCTTGAACTAATAAAGAAATTATCAAAACAGTTGAACAAATTTCATTCTTTCCCTTTGTATGTGTATTTTATTTATTTATCGTTGTTGCTTCCATTTTGTTCAACTCCACTTACTTCATATGTCCCGTTCATTCATTCATTCATTCATTTCTTGCTTACTTACTTACCGTTAACTTTTACATATTATGCATTTTATCTGTAACGCATATGCAACAATCTTTATGGTTCTATATGCATCTGTTATGAGTGAGTGATATGTAAAATAAACTTTGGTAAACCGCAAGAGATTAACATTTTCACCGCAAACTATTTCTTTAAGTTTTCTTTCCCTAATCGACATTGAATATTAATATCATATCAATGTACGAAATAATTTTTTTTTTTTTCGTATTAAACATCGAGAAGATAGCGCAGGAACGAAAAATTTAATTACATCGTAAAAAGTAAGAACAACATAGTCGGTCGTTACCGAAACCTTTATACCCATCATCCTGATACGAAACTCAGAAGAAAAAAAACAACAACAACAAATTTTTCATATTCTACAATATTCGGTGGGCGCGGCTGATTTTTTCTTTACTTCAGGAAAAAGTGAAAATTTATATGGTGTATGTGTTGTACTCTATGAGTAACAAGGAGAACAGACGGAGAGCAAAAGGCATATTATAAAAGCCATGTTATATGGGCATTGGGGGGACGTGTTGTAGGCGTATTCTTTGAAAACTTTTGGGAGATATTTTCTTCTCGCTGCTCTACGCGGTCCTTTCGCTATGTGAAAGCAGATTTAAACTGATACGGTTACCGTCACTGGTCACGAGCCGGGAATGATTTCGGTGGTATTTGTGGTTTAATTGATATGGGACCGGCTTTGCTCTTCTTATCTCTTAAATCTTGTCGACTTCAATGTTACGTGTCGGTCTTTACGACACTTTATTCCTTGAAGATTTGTTCATTACCATACGAACTATCTACTGTTTGATCGGCTTAGCTTGCCAAGTAGGCCTTATATCGGGATTACCGCTTCGATCAGTTTACGGATTCAACATATACTTTTATTATAAAGCGCATAGTTAGAAATTGAATATTGTAGTTTATAATGATTTGCTTTGTCATGCTGAGTATTGTAGTTAATTGAATAATCAAATACGCGATAGAAGGCTAGATTCAGATAGTCTCGTATTGGTATCAAGAGTTGTATTAGCTTAGTGTTTAAGTTCTGGTTCCTTTTGTACTTGGAATTGGTTTTTGTAACCAATTTTTATAGACAATAAATAAGCGTAAGTCTACAATAGTTATTTCACATAAAAATCGATTGTAGCAAGTTTGGATCTATGAGATCCTTCTCACATAAATTTCATGTATACAGGCCTGTACAGGGTAGAAGAAGATTTAATTTCATACTCTTTATTCGATAAGGAAGATATCAAAGGATATATTAGGCGGACTGGTAGATCTATAGTCAATCACTCATAGGTCAGCTTTGGTCGGCTATAGCGGACATATTCGCTTAGGATAGTAAATATGAAGAAATTCTTTGTAAAGCAAACATAATTTTCGTACCTACTTATGAATGAATATCGTCCAGTAAACCATATACGACAAGCATTCACATATACAAATGCCTATGAATTCGGGCGTAGCGGCGCCCAGCGTAGGGATTAAATGACCAAGGTGCACTAAGTAGCGAATTCATTTTGTTGTTCATTTTCATTGCCTTTCGTATCGTATAATCTAAGTCAAGTTCAAATTTACGACATTATAATAAATGCTTTTTCCATTTTTTCTCCTTTTACTTCGTTTTTTGTTTTTGGCAGACGCGATATCGATATACAGGAAAAGCTATGGACAAAAATATAGCATAAATCACGAGAATTCTGTAATAATTTTGTCTTTTGGTCGTTGGCCAAAGCAATAAAACAAATGGAAGTGAAATAAATTGGCAGCAGCAACAAAATTTGGGCAGATCTTCTTAAAGATAACAGGTTTTGTTTTGCATTATTTTGCATACACACAAAGGCAAATGAATTAATTTTTTATTTGATTAGAATCCTAGAACGTAAGTAAAACAAGGCTACCTGAGTGACATTTACAAAACAATTTTCTCTTCATGTACATATATATCAATATTTTTGTTGCAAGTAAAGCGTAAAACCAAATTCCATATGCTTCAGAACCTCTCAAAGAGCACCAAAGTCTATCAAATGATTTTCGGCGAGAATAATTCGAAAATTCTACTTTTAAAATCGCTTAAATCATTCTTTTATTCACCGACAAAGACTTCTCTTAAAAATAAAGCAACAAAGTAATTATTTCTGTAGATTCATTCCTCTTTAAGAGCTCGATATGACCCAAGTTCCATAAGCGCACATTAAAGTGTGATATGAGAACAAATGTGAAAGGATGGAAATTAATTCAAGCACACAATTCATTTGACATATTTTGCGATAGATGTTTTAAATTTCAATTAAAATTCAAATTCATTCAAGTACCATTATCTACTGTCATACGATCATATATAAATTGAAGGAAGACAAGTTATATTCAATTTAAAGGGCTTCATTCTTTTACATTTCTATTTCATATACGAAGCCCCTATTAATCAAATTTTCAATCTTGGCCGGCATTAACGTGAAAAGGATTTCCCCTAACATTGTGAACACAGGAAAAAAGTTAAGCAAATAAATTATGCGTTCAACTCATTTTGAAATTTCCCACTATCAAGATGCTGGCGTCAAATTTGAAAATCTTTGTAATTGGCTCAAACGCTCTAGTACGATTACCAGAAAATCATACGATTTGTAGGAGTCTGAGGAACACATTAATGCTGGCCAAGATCGAAAATTTGATTTGAAAAGGCTTAGTGTAAGGCTTAGGCTTATACTACAAAGTCTTATGCGGGGGATAGCGGATTGTGAAAAATGGAGCAAAACGATGCACAAGTTGGCAGAGAAAACTTATATGGCAAACAGCTGGGGCCTATGGATCCATTCTCATCATAAAAAGTAACACATTGTTTGATGTCGTACGAAAGCTTGTTTTTTTTTAACAGATTGAGTATAAAATGTATTTTGTATTCATTTACATAATACGCCAAATTGATATCTTTTCAACAACAACAACAACACGATCTATATGATGAACAACACAAAACTACTTGGGCATATCGTGAACAGACGAGATACCGGAAAAACTTAATACAGTTATGGTAAAAGCATAACTGCGATCATACACAAAAATAACTGAGGCATTGTCATAGGGTGGAATCCATGAACCGATTTAACTAATTTTGAAACTTAATGCAACATAGTGGAGGAAAAAAGTTCAAAACACATTTTTACGGCACTTGTGTTTGTGAGTTTGTGGCAGTCGTTAATTATGATAGCGGACAGACAGATAGACAAAAATCGAATATATCTTACTTTTCATTGTTCATTGTAAAATGCAAAGCAAATGTAATTAATTAACTTAAATTGAAACTTAACATAAACGTATATTCATTCACATCCGCGCAGACAATGCATGCAAGCTTCCTCTTATTCTTTTTCGCTCTCTCTCTCTCTCTCTCTCTCTCACTCTCACTCTCTGTCACTCTTTCTGTCTATGTCGTTAAGGAGTAGGTGCGAATTGATAAAATTTAATGAAAATGCAACAAGACTTGTTTCACTTACCCGCATACATAAGTAGCGTCAATAAATTCAACAGCCAATGTGTCATGATGATGCGCTAGTTGTTATGGCTGTTGCTGCAGATGTTGATTTGCTGTTTGTGCTGGCGTTTATTTTTGTTTTTTGTTTTTTGCTTTTTGTTTGTTTTTGGTTTTTTTTGTTTTTCTTTTTCTCTTTTTCTTACTTATTTTTGTACGCCAATGCTCTACTTATAGTTGATATAAAACAAAAAAAAGCAACAAAAAAAAAAAAAAAAAAGAAAAAAAGAAAACGACAAACTTATGCACATCTCTACTCCGAATGTTGCTTTACAGGAAATCCCGGATATTCAGTGTCTCCCGGCTCTACTCCATCGTTTGTTTTACACTTCCCGCCCCTAACAAGCGCAGCAGCGTCAGGCCTTGACTGGTAATCGTGGTGTGAAATGCGAAAATGTCTACTGACACTGATGCAAAATATATATATAAAAACGAAAATGAAAACGAAATGAAGAACGAGAGAATGAAACGAAGCCAAAAGAAACGAAACTATGTCCACGTACAGTTGACGCCTAGATGATAATGTAGAACTCAAATCTTTCGACTACCGAATGAATGGAAAACTTTTTATGCAATTTATGGAATATGTCTTTGCATATATCTACACTTTCTATATGTGTGTACATATGTGTATATATATGTATGCATATACATATATTTATATATGCAAATATATATATATATATATATGTACTAATATATATATTGAAGTCTAGCATACAGAGGACGGCGATGATATTATGACTGTTCGTGTCAGTTTGTTTAGCAAGCCTGTGTATGATATATATAAAGCATCCAAACACAAAGAGCAGACAGAATATCTTGCATGAAAGAAAAAAATGATGAAAAAAAACCGCGTCACATATTCACACAAATTCATGTACACGCAAATGACTATTTAAAGGCGTAAACTTATTTCCGTTAACGTTGAAATCAAAATATATTAAATCTATGTGTGAACTGTATACGGATATAGGTATGAACATATATACGGTATGGCACGTAGTTTGGCAGCATTACATAGTTCATTAACTTTTCTTGCATATTTCATAGGTACATATGCATGAGCAAAAATTATGCTGTACATAAATTATAGGCAGAGGCGTTTAACAAGTCGCATCATTTCACAAATTCACACTTTTAATTACTTGGCTTTTATTGTTTGTTGTTGTTGTTAACTTAAGTTATTTGCGCCGTTTCTTGTTTTTTTTTTTTTTTTAATGTCAATTTATTTTTTATATTTTTGTATACTGCAGGCGCGAAACCCTTTCATTTAATATGATTATGTTTTATCAATAATTTTAATTTATTTCACGTGTTACCGCTTTAATTGGTGTCAATTAACAACGAACTTACTGCCGTACGTGACATTAGTTCCCGGCATCCTCTCCGGTTCGTAGTTGAAATTTCATATCTGTTGCTGCTGTTTGTCGTTGATACCGTTGACAGCGTTCGCGATAACCGTCTTCCATTATTATACACTTTCTTCCTCTTATATAATACTCTATCAGTTGTTATTATTATTGTTGCCTGTTGTTGCCTGATGCTGCTGTTCCTATAGTTGCTGGTCTTGTTGTGCGATCATTTTTCAGCACCTGTAACGATAACAAAAGCGAAAATTTTCTTTAAAACTCTTTTTGTTTTTCATTTTTCTTTTTGTTTTTATCATAATTTGCCTGAAAGTGCAGAGTGAAAAGCAAACGATTGTCCATTTCTTGCTAATATGTGTGTTTGCGTGTGCATGGGTTAACCGCATTTTAATTCATTTCATATTTTAACTTTTGCGAGGCAGGAAAGTTTGCATTGGAAACAAAACTAGCTCATGGAAATGTCTTCGATAAATGTTTGCTCGATTTTTCAAGTTTGACGATTTTTTTTTTTTTTTTTTCTCTTTCAATTTAAAACAAGTTACAGTCAGGTAAGGCTAATAATTAAAGAGTCTACAAAGTTTCATTTACTTACGTTCTGAGATATTGAAAATTTTATTTCGATGTCACGTAAAGGCTTACCTTTCCTATGATCCAATTTATAGGGAAAGCTTTTCGATAAATATACCTATGTGATCCAAATTTGTTATAGTTAATTTATCGCTATCGCAAATCGTTATTCTGAACTGACCTTTGTTATAGAATACCAAAAAATTAGATCTCGCTCCCAAACGAAGGCTTATTCTTTGCAAAAAACATCTATGCGTGTGTGTAGGGTGGGACTCAAACATAACCATACACGATCCAAGTTTCTCACATATATACTAAAATATTCTTTCCATTCATTTTTGTCGAGAAATATGAAAAATCACAAATTTTTATTTTAAATAATGCCATTTATTAAGAAGAACATTCATATGATGGAGACTGATCGCAAGAAACTTTTCACTCTTAACGCTCTTTAGTAGAGATCGTAGGTCAACTTAAAAATAATTCTCAAGAGATTTCTATTTTGATAATCTGAATACAAGGGCAGACATCACACATACACACACACAGATGGACAAATAGGCATACAGGCGGTAGTACGGACAGACATACATACAGGCGTGATTAAATTTATTTTGCAAAATAGTTCTAACATAATAAAGAGAGAATCCATTTTAAGATTCTCTGGATGTTGCACACATCTACAAAAAATTTAATATACCTTAGGATCGAAAGTCATTTTATTTATTGATTTACGACAGGGCACTACACACACTTAAGGTGAAATGCTTAATAAATTACGCGATTCTACAGAAGATCATCGATCTGAAGTACAGCACAGTTTTTTTAAAAATATTTCCAAGTTTACAGCGCTAATAAATGAACTTAGGTCGAACGATTAAAATATAACTAAATTATACCAAAGCATATCAGAAGCAAGCAGCAAAGTTAAAGTCAAAAGCGTACAATATTTGAAGCGTAAAGTATAAAAGAAACGAAAATAAGTGCAAGTAACTGTCGTACAAATAGTCACTAACAAACTACGATGTGCGAACATTCGAACCGAATCACCGACTTGGCAATCGTGGGTCTTATGCCTTCGTCTACGCGCTAACCCATACAGAATAGGTGGGCATATGAGTAGAGCGAAAACGTCTGTATTAACAACGCGGGGTTCGTTAGTGGTTTTTACCACTCATCGCTCATTGTCTTAAAAGTAACAGGTCGCGGGTTTCATCCACCCAACTTTATCGAGTTCGCATTGCCATCACGGATTGGGGAGAGAAGAGCGAAAAAGCATTTCGACTAGAGTTAGAGAAGATCAGGAATTTTAGATTTGGTTGGGACATGTTTCCTAAAGTTTTATTTAGTAGTCAGCGCTAATTTTTTTTGAAAAAAATCGTTGAGATGATTGGTACGCGAGAACTGTCTAGAAGGAGATGCAAAAATGTGTTGACTTTTGAAATTGCTTTCTGGGAATTTATTCTTTTGCCCAAGATTGCATATTTAAAACAGTTAAAGTTATTCAGTAAATATATAATATGATGGTATGCAAGCCAAATAGGTTAGTAGGGCATTAGATGTTAATGCATATCTTATATATGCATATAAAGAACTTTGATGTTTCTCTCTGAACGCTAAATATTAAAAAAAAAAAAACTTTAATTTTAAAATTAAATGTATGTAAAAAATAATACAGAATGCTTTACTGAGGCAACTAAAAGTCGTTAATGGCAAACGAATGATGCTGGTGATGTCTTACAGTGCGGCTGCTATTGGGTGGCGAAGCTTACAATATCGTTACGCGTAATTACTAACAAAACAGGAGGGGGAAACTTTCCTACAATGTATGCGAATATTGCATTTATGCATGTGTCTGTTTATAGTATGTGTTAATGTGAACATAATTTGTTAAGTTTGCCATAATTAAAGTGCCACATACATAGATTGAACACCAGAACACGCAAGAGCAAATGTGTGTGTGTGTGTGTGTGTGTGCATGTGTCTAATGCTTAAATTATAACAGTGAATACTCCTTATAAAGCCATAATTATCAACTTTATTTCAAACATGCTCGCACACAACACGCATAACAAAGTAAAAAAAAAAAAAAACAAAAACATTTCGGAAACAATGTAGTTAAGCACTCATTAATAAGGTAATGATCATCGACATAAATCGGCGAAAAGAATAGAACAGCAATACAGTAACACGCAACTAATGTAAGGATCTCTGAAAACATCGTAGTACCATAAGTGAACTATTAAACTTTGAATGAATTTAGGTATGAAAGAAAGTTCTTTTCTTCATCTGCTGGTGGAATTTTTCAACAGCCATAAAAGCGAACAGACAAAAGGAAATATATAAATCATATTCTCGGACACATATATGGATACTCTTTTTAGAAGCTGACAAATATTTTCAATAGAAAACTGGTACGATGTTTTACGGTCGAAGCATTTGCATAGTTGCCGAGAAAATTAAATTTTCTCGAAACCGAGCAGTGTCCAAAATATACGTCAAATATCAGTCGAAGGACATGCATGAATTTTGTTCGAAATGCTTTGGCGTCTTTGATTCATCCAAAAACTATCGACCACATGCTTTTGCTTCTTTCCCTGTTCGTAACCTTCGACGGTCGGCAAGAAGGTAATGCCGTCTCATATTGTATTTTTGTGTTAGAAAATGTTCTCCAGGTCCTTCAACACATTTTTAGCAATGTACTATACAGAGATATATTAACACAACCAAGTTAATGTTGATGTCTATTAAACCTTCCATTAAAATATGCTTCGATACTGTGAGTAAATAATAAACAAAACTTTTAATACACTGGCTGTCAAGTGCTACCAACAAACAAATAGAAAAGCTAAAGTGGACCATGGCCCGCCATTACGTATCCGAGTCTACTCTACAATTATTCAAGCGACTTTTCAAAATAAGGCGTTATATTGGAATGGTCGGACAAGTGTTCCGATCAGAATCATTTTGAATAGCATTTGTCCTTGCGCTGAGATAAGGTCAGCGTACAAAATTTAATTATACCCGAAATATGTCAAAAATTGCGACCTGTAAGTTGAACACAAGAAACTCAAACGGACAAACAGACCAGCCAGACAAGCTGAGAAGTTCAGCTTTAGGAAACGATTCTGGCTCAATGGGTATAATAAAAGGTGGATGTGCCCGAAGCCACTCTGGGTGTTGCATACATCCGCACAAACTTAATATATGCTTGTAGTACAGATGATATGCATTTAAAAAGAACATAAGTTGTAACGTTATAGACAAGTAAAGTCGACTATACAGTGCTCTGAACGGGTTTGCCCAAAAAGCACAGTACCAAACGTTTTACTCCCTTACCCCACAAACGATAAATTTTTCCAGACAAGATATACGTTAAACGAGGAATTGTCCGAAAAGTGGGTCCACGTACATCAGTAAAGTAAATCGGTGTGGAAGCGGGATCCAGTAGTGCTTCCCTCCCATATATTGACAGTTGGACGTTTTCTTTTTTTTTTTTTTGATATAATTACTATTTCAAAGTATCGTATTATAGCGGAAGTTGCCTAAAAAAATAGTCCGGTCCAACACATGCTTGTGCAGAAAAACTTTCTTGAAACATCTAAACAACTGCGTCCTGTATTACGAATACGAAAATGCGTGAACAAGCATCGGATAAATAGGAAAACACACTTTTCTAAACCACTTGTTATGATAAAATTCTTTTAAATGTTGCAAACATTCACACAAACTTAGTACATTCTCATGGAAAACACGTTGGCGGGTATAAAAAAATTTACGGCATTGCTTACGTTTCTCTTACTCATGTTCGGCCTATAATTTTGACTGAGCACATTATACCATTAACTATTCGTAATCAAAAGAACTTAAGTCCATAACAGCATTAGCAGCTTAAGCCTTTTACTTTAACGCAAATATCTAGCAAAGCATCCGACAACGTAAGTAAAATACGAGCTAAGCACACTTTGACATTTGAAATATGGAAAAGTCATCGACCAACAATTGCCAGGCTTTCATAAGAAAGCTGATATTGTAGTCCTGTTCAAGAGTGATGTAGTCGGTATCTTTTTTAATATATTGTTGTTCCTTTTGTGGGACGATTTTTCAAGACCTGTATGGCCTGTCATCCTCTTGGCCTGTCTGCCTATCGAACTAATGACTTTATAATTTCTAAGGCTATTCGTAAGTGCCACTTGAAGAGCATCGGGAGTCGTAGAGACGAGCGCCCATGTCATTGTTGAGCTAAATAACTCGGTGGAAATGAGGGGGTTTTAAGTTTTTGTCCCACAGAC